TCTTTCCCTTGAGGGGAATCCTTCTTTGAGGTGGGTGGGAGGGCTTCGGATGTTCTCATTAGCCCACACTCAAGGGTGAAATGATGACTAAGGAAGTGCCTATAGTATCTGGTTCTGGCCCAGGGGAGGCAGGGGGTAGTTGGATACCAAAAGTTTTAAAGTTGGAATTCAGTTGGCTTTTGATGGGGGCAGTGGTAGAAAGAGCTTTTAAAAATCACACAAGTATGAACTTAAATCTAGCTCTCCTATGTATTAACTGGGGGGCTTTCTCAGATGTGGTTTCTTCATCTGAAAGACTGAGGCTGACAGCTGTGAACTCTCTCAGTGGGTGGAGATGAGCAAAGGCACTTGGCACTGAGCACGGCAGGTGTCCCAGGGTGAGTCTCTGCTTTCCTGTCCCATTTTCCAATCCTCACTTTCCCACCTTGCCCCATGTCCCCACCCCCAGGCCCCTCTACCTTTCAGGTTGATATTTATGATGACCGTCCTGGGGATGACATTCATGACGTCAATGATGGAGGCTGCGTGAATGACAACAGAGACACCCTGGCAAGCTCTCCTCAGGCACTGCTCATCCAGAATGTCTCCTTCCAGCATTATCAGCTTGATCTTGTTCTGGAGCTCTGCGTGAACACCAGACAGGTCATGAGACGGCTTTCTGGATCTGTCTGGGAAACATCCTGATAAAGATAACATTTCTTCAGGCCTTCAAAGGCGTTAGAAGGGAGTATGGAGGACTGAGAGCACATTCCACAGAAAGAATATGTCAGCAAAGGCACAAAGGCAAGAACGTGGAGCATTTACTGGGGAAGAGCAAGCATCTGTTTCTACCTTATCTCATTCCAGAAAAAGAATCCGATGGGCCAGGCAGTGGCATGGCAGAAATACAATGCTCTGTGATGTTGGACCCATAAGGGAGCCTACTGGGTTCATGTCTGGAGGCATGTGCACGCCAGATGCATGTATGCCTGTGATCCAGCTGGCTGGGGCTCGGAGTGAATTGTAGTGTGAAGATCCTATTGGGGGAGAGGTGCCTGTCTCTTTTCCCATGGAAGAGATGAACTTATAAATAAGTGAATAAACTAAAAAATAATTTGAGCAGTGAGAGATCGAGAGGGCCTGGAACATAAACATTGTTAAAGAGAATCATAAAATGTATTTTAAAAAAATCAGGTGATTGGGCCGGTTGTGGCCTAATGGTTGAGGGCTCTGGATCCCACGTGGCCAGCCACAGGGTAAATCCCAGCTCCAGTGACTTAAAAAACATGCCGGTGCATAAGTGTGTGTGCTCAAAATCCTGATGGGATGAAAACAGAGGAGGAGAAAGGATTGTGTTGTGACCACGCCCTCTGGAGTTGTTTCCCTCTCTCTCTCTCCGTCTCTTTCTGGTGATTACACACACAGGGGTAGGGACAGGAGATACTAAGATGGTTGTGGAGAGTTAAGAATTAGAATTTAATTCTGTAGGGAATAAGGAGTCTCGTGAGGGTTTTGAGTAAGAGGAGAAACAGAAGCAGAGTTGTGGAGCAGGAAGCTAACTTTGGCCTCAGGATTGCAAATGGACTGATATGAGGGTTTGAGGGACACAAAGGTGATTAATTGAAAACTCATGCCAAAGTACAGATAAGATTCACTGGAGCCAAGGTTCCTGCTGTGTTCCAGCTGGATTCCAACCTTCTACAAGGGGGGAGGACACAGATGGAAATTTCAGACCTGACCTTGACAAGTCCTGGCACTTACTGGACCTGGGCTGAGAGGAAAAGGAGGAAGCCTTGGTATTTCCTGCATGGGTGACTAGAATGGGAGGAGAGCCTTTAACTGGGAATTGAAGATGGGCTCATTGATGATCAATTTAATTGGGAAACTCTTACCAGATATCAGATATTATCAAAAGCAGTTGTCAGTGCTAAGAATGAGTCAGCCATCTACCTAGCCAAGGGCAAGTGGATAGAATATCCCTGCCCTCAGGCTCCTTGAAGTCCCCATAACATTACACTACCAGTAATGTCACTTCAAATTAGCCAACAAAATAAACGCCATGTTACACACAGTTTGAATAGATACCCTGCTTGTTTGTGCTTTATAATTTGCATAGTTTTCTCGTTTCCTTTTTTTTTTTTTTTGAATTAAAAAAGCTTTTGGCTGGGAAGGAGTGTGTGGTCCCATGGCTTAGTGGTTAAGGGAGCCAGATCCTAAGTGGCTGACCATGATTTGAAACCTGGCCCTGGTGGCTTGAAAAGCATGCCAGGTGCATGTACGTGCACGCCCCCAATCTCAATAGGATAGAGAAATGGGGTAGAAGGAATTGCAGTATGACTATGCCCCAACTGGGAGCAGGGTGCTTTTCCCCTCTTTCTGTCTCTCTGTCTCTGCCGATTACAAAAACAAAAAATGATTTTAAAAATGTTCTTATATGAGACAGAGAGAGAGATTGAGATGGGCACCCCCAGCAAGGCCCCTATGTTGCAAACCCTCTGCAGATGACTTATTTCCTAGCTATCACATGACAGGTATTCTGATTTCCACTTTAGAGAGGAGGAAACAGGTCCAGAGTGGTAAAGGGACAGATCTAAGGTCACACTTCTTGTGAAGGCTTGAACCTGCCTCTGCCTTCAAACCCTCTTCATGTTCCCCTGTGTCCCGCATGAAGGACCAGCTATCAGCAACTAGCTTTTCTGAGACAGAGTAAACATAGCTGAAATTGTACTGAAGGCAAGGAGACAGAAGTTCAGAGTGAAAAGTTCAGGACCCAGGCAATTCCTTCGGGGCACACAAGCAGGAAGACAGGCCTCAAAGGGCGCTGCTGGGCAGGGCATAGGGCACAGCAGCCCAGGGTAGCCCTACCCCGGCCTTCCCTCCTCCTCTTCCCTGCTTCTCCTCTGCTATTGACTTCGGACACACTGGCTCAAAGGATTTGCTAGGCTAGGCCTTTCCTCTTTTTGTGTCCAAGGAAGGGAGGAAGATGTGATGGATTCCAGGAAGTTTGCCCAGTCGCAGCCAGCTGAGTTGGGTCTTGGGGTGCTCTTCCTCTAGCTACTGTGTTTTTTTTTTTTTTTTTTTTTTGATTAATATTTCCTCATTTGGCTTGAAATGTAGGATCTTATACATCTCAAAGGTTTGGGATAGAGAGGAAGTGAGACAATTCTTTCTATAAAGAAGGGAAACAGGCATAATAGTTAACGTGCTAGACTCCCATATGACCGACTGCGGTTCAAGTCCCAGGTTCAGTGGCTTGAAAATCACGCCACCTGTGTGTGCGTGCCCAGAATCCCAAGAGGAGAATAGAGAAGGGACTGTGGCGTGGCCATCCTCTCTGTAAGGTGATTTCTCACTTTTCCTCTCACTGACTCTCTTTGTCTCTGGAGAGCATATGAGCTCTATAGTGGGGTGGGGGGGGGTACCTTAAAAAAAAGGGAAACGAGATCCGAGTACTATGGAGATGGAATTCTGCTGCAGGGGTAATAAATTAACTGAGAGAGAAAATGAGGAAGCAAAGTAATGAGCCTGACTGGGATACACAGAGTATTACTCACAAAAACCAACTTCATTTGGATTCCTTCATTTAAATCAAAACAAAACGACAGAGGCCCCTGACACAATAAGGACACGCTGCTGAGCAAAACAGATACCATCTCTGCCCTTACAACAGAGGTTACGCAGGAAGTTGGTGAATGAACGGTACCGAGAAAAATGGGCTGGTATATGGGAAGTTGGCGCTTTTTGAAGCGTGGAGCGAAAGTACCTAATTAAAAGGCCAAAAGAATCAGGACCAATTTTCTTGGAGGAAATAGATGTTTAAATTGAAACCTGGTTGAATAAGCCAGGCAAATAAATTTTGAAATAGACCATATAATCAAGATGTCAGCTACTTATTTTTCTTCTCCAATGATCTCATTTTTAGCACAATGAAGAAAATCAGAACGTTTATACATTCGTAAGGGAAATGACTGAGTTTTAAAATGTAAACACTTGTTCAAGTTTATTTTATTTTAGTTTTAGAATTAATTAATTAAAAAAAATTGATGAGAGAAAGAGAGAGGAGAGAGAGAGGAGAAAGGGAAGGTGAGAAAGCAAGTTGCTAGGTCCAGGACTTGAACCGTGGTCAGCCATGTGGGACTCCAGCACTCTGAACCACCTCAAGTTTATTTTTATATTCCAAGTGTTTCTTTTTACCCAAACTATATTTTACATGGTCAAATTTAAGAAAGTTTCCAAACTGAAATATAATCATAATAGCTGTATAGATGTCAGCAAGAGATCTCCCGTAGACTAAACTAGGATAAAGCAGGTCTTACGGATAAGGCCGGGTACATTGACCTGACTCCTAAACTTGCAAAGCTTCTTACTGATGCTATTGCTCCTTGACAAATCTATTTTTAATGCATTATTTTTCTTTGAATGGTTCAGTTTAATTCAATAAAGCCTTAAAACTTTTGAATTCCTTCCTATACCAGGGACATATCCCAGGTATGATACTAATCCTTAAGGAACTTAGAGTCTAGTTAGGTAGAAAGAATTGGATAATTCCAGTACAATAAGGTGGACTATGTACTGAGAACAAGGACAGCTGCCATTTAGCTCAGTCTAGGGGGCTAGGGTGTGGGCAGCTGAGGAAAGGTCACTCCAGCATCAAAAGACAAGCAGGGCTGAGCGTCAGTGGTGCACATCGCTGCACGATACCAGGAAGACCCTGGGTGGATGCCAAAGCCAGGTGACCTACACATGCCAGGAGTGACTGTAATCCTGGCTGGCTGAGCAGCGAGAGTGCGTGGATGGCAGCATGGGAAGATCCTGTGCAATATCCCTGTCTCTCCCTACCTTCTCCTTCTCATGAAAAAGCAATAATAAAAAAAGGTTTTAAAACTGCACACACATAAAAAGACAACTAGACTTTAGGAAAAAAAAAAAAAAAAAGAGGAATTGCTATTCCAAACCCGGAGAAATCAAAAGCTGAGTTCTCAGGGCTCCAGAGAGACCAGAAGAGGGCACTGTGGCGTTTGGTGAAGGAGCCATCACTCCCTTCTCCCAGGCACCGTGTTTTACAGACTGATCTGTAGTTGCTTTTATGGTGTGTGCTGGAAGTTGGGTTAGAGGAAGGCATGGAGAGAAGAACCTAGATGAACTATTGGTTAAGAGCACAGATGGTGCAGCCAGACTGCCTGGATTCAAATCCAGCTTTGTCATATTCTAGCTGTGGGACCTTGGGCAAGTGAATTGACATCTCTGTGCCTTATTCATTAGAAAAAAAAAAAAAAGGTAATAATATTACCCATCCCCACTGGGCTGTTTGAGGAGCAACTGAGCTGATACATGTAAAACATTTAGCACGGTGCCTGGCACAAAGAAAACACTGTAAGGCTCCTCTGTTATTATCTTTATGCAGACCCTTGCCCATCCATTACACCTCCTGAATTTTCACCACTAAAGAACTATTCCTCTAGGCTGAGCATTGTGCTTTCCTGCCATTAGATGTTAGACTGCAAATATTGCTGAGACAAGGATGAAAAGCAGTTAATGCTGGTCATGTGTCAATGTTTGTTTATTATTAAAGCAGAGGGTGGAAGGAATTAGATTTTTTTCTTTAAGGTTTTTGTCATAGGGTGCATACACTCTTCAGAGAGAGACACAGAGATGTAAATTAAGATATCACTCCCTCTGGGGGGGGGGGATGACCATGCCGAAATCCTTTTTCCTCCATTCTCCTCTTAGGATTTTGGGCATGCACATACACATGCCTGGTGTGATTTTCAAGCCTCTGGGCCTGGGACTTGAACCATGATCGACCATGTGGAAGTCCAGCACCTTAACCACTAAACTATGCCACCTGTTGGCCTGGAAATTGGGCATTTGAGGTCAGAGAAAAAAAAAAGAAGAGGAGAGTGATGGTGTGGTCCTGGGTGCTGTCAAGGTGGCAGTGTTTGTAGAGCACGAAGCTGAGTGAGAACTCTCAGTCCCCCTATCTCGGGGGTAGGGTAGGAAATTGGTTTCGGACACATGGCGGATGGGGGGCACGGCGGGCAGTGGGACAGACTAAGGGTTCACTTTGCCAAGAGCCAGCTCTTGGGCTGAGCGGGGGTCTCGGTGATGGAGGTCCAACTGAACTCTGCTGCCCCTCAGTCAGATGGCCTCGGGCAAATCATTTTACCTTTCTAGACCTTGAGGTCTCCATTGCCCAGATGGGTGACCCTTTTCCTATCCTCCTCACAGGGTTACTTTGAGGATCTAAGGATGAAAATGGTTGGAAAATACACTGTCAATCCAGCTTTAGCATTTGCACCAGAGGCATCAAAGCGATGAATTATAGCTGGTACAGCAAATTCCAGAGTAAGTTTGTGATAATAAACTGAGACAAAAGATCAAAAAGAGGTGTACAAAACGAGGTGTGTCTGGGCTCACGCTGCTGCTGGCTCTGGCTCCACACTGATCATGTGTGCAAACTGTCTCTAATGCTCTTTCTTGTTCTCTCTCTCTTACACACAAATACACGCACACACAGACACCACACTCTACCTTCACTTCTTATTTCACCTTCACTGAAAATGCTGCAAGCTACAAACAGCCACCCAAACCCCACAAAACCCAAGAGAGTCAGTGGTCCACTGGCGAGGTCTCCGGCGAGCGATCTTTTGCTGATCTGCACAGCGATTGTCAAGTGAAAAATCTTCGAACAATAAAGACAAGAGGAGAACCGATGTGTGATATATATATTTTTTGGAGAGGTTTTTGCTATAGGGTGCGTGTGCTCATCAGAAAGACAGAGACAGAGAGACAGAAAGCTAGAAATCACACCACCACCACCACCACCACCCCCGGGGGAATGGTCACACCACAATCCCTTCTCCATTCTCCTCTCGGGATGTTGGGCACACACACATACGCGCCTGGAGTGAGTTTAAGCCAGTGGGTCCAAGACTCGAACTGCGATCAGTTACATGGGAGTCCAGTGACATAGCCATTGCACCAACTGCTGGGTCCCCGATGTGTGATTTTCTAGATGAGAAGGAAAGAGGCCTAGAGGCTAAAGTTTCCTCTCTAGTTCTGGATCAGGGACCAAATCCAAGTTTTTAGTACATGACCCAGGACCTTCTACACCACGTTCTGTGTATTCCTTTCTGTTAACTTTGAACATGGAACTAGCTGTGATTAACCTATCATAGTCTTTGCTTAGCTAGACGAGCCACCTTTCCCACATCCACACTTAAAGCATGCCCATGACTTGAATTCACTTACTAGAAAATTCTTCCTTCACTCTCGGCCTGAAGACTTTGTCCAGGGCTCTGATCTCCTGCAGCTCCTTCTCCTCCATCAGTAAGTGGACGATCCTTTGTCCCAAAAACCCTCCTGCTCCTGTCACGAGGCAGCTCCACCCAGTCATAGTTAGTTTATGGCTCCAAGAAACCTTCACTAGGAACCAGAAATCACTGGTGTGGGTTGGGGGCAGATTCTATTACAAGGTGATCCTGGAGAAGGCTAAAAAGAGACACAAAATGGTTATGGCTCACCAAAACCCCCTTTGTCTCCTTTCATTTTAGCAAAACTCCCACCTCCCCACCACTACCGAGAGTGAAAAAGAAGGCAAAAGGTCTAACCTGGCCGTGTGCAAATCCAGACGAAAGAGCTTGTGAGCTGGTCTTCTGCTTCCCAGGGCAGGACTGGAGCTTTTTGTACCACACCTCCTGGTTATTACCTTGAACTGTTGCTACATACTGTTGCTCACTCTTCCTCTAGGCTCCCCTGGATTGGTGACCTTAAACTGCATCTGTCACTCCTCCTAGGCACATCAAAATCAAAGGAAAGACTGCTTCAAGGCCGCAGCATGATACAGACTTGCCTTTCACCTCAATAGGACACCAGTTCAGTGATAACAGCTAGCTGGGATCCACAGTCCACAATCTTAAACAGGAGAATTCCCCATATACAATGTAAATTTCAGCCTTGTGCAGTTAACACATCTGGAAGAAAACTCCCATTATCTCCTCTCTCCACATCACTTATTTATTTACTTTTATTATTTAAGACCTTTTTTAACAAGTGCTTGCAGTTTGTTGACTTTTTTGAAAAAAAAAATTGAGTTTTAAACTTTTATTGCAAACTAAAAATCTCAACTTGACCACTGTAAAACAATTTAAAGACCTTTAAAGGTGCATTGAGAAAAAAACAGGATTAAAACAAACAAACAAACAAACAAACATTTGTCATTACCAAAAAGAGACATCTTTAAGCAAAAATAAAAACTCCATGCTGCACAGATAATGCAGATAGTTGCAGTTATTTGGTCGATGAGCTAAAAGCAAACATTTAAGGTCTTCAGCTCCAATATTTTGCTTATTCCTTAACTGCTGGACTTTCACATTCACTTCTCATTGGAAAAACTAAATGGGATGATGATAGAGTTGGTAGGCTGGCATTTACTCAGCCTGCCCTGCTCAGCCTCCAGAGTGGATGAATTCTCAGCTGGGGGATCCACTGCTTTTATCTCTTTGCCATCTTGTCATTTAGGGTTTTTCCCGCCTGAGTCTGTTGGTAATTGAAGTTGTGGCAGTCCTGGTGGCTGGGTGGCTGCTGACCCTGGGTCTCATGTCCTTGATTGTCCATATCCTCTTCCTTGCCGTTCTCTCTGGGCTGTCTTTGGCAAGGAGGGCCCCTGCAAAAATCATGTTCTATAACCCTGATAGATATCCCACCTCCCTGGTCTACCTAGTTCTCAAGCACCCTGGTGATCAGCACCCTCCATCACTTCTCCCTGTACAGGAGGGTGGGGAATACTGCAAGTCAATGCTCATAGAAGTCTTCCCCTGCTCAGAATCTTCCGCTGCGGTAGGGCCTAGGGCCGGCATTGTTGGGCCTGGCCTTGGGGAGCGCTCTCTGATCCCCACTCTCATTATTCTGGCAACTTTGCTGTAATGGCGTTGAGGACCCCTGTGACATGGCCACCGTCGGTGGCATGTTCACTGCCTTGAACTGGAACTCCACCAGGGCCTGTGACACCTGCTGCTACGCACCCTTTTCTCTTTGGCCGTCCAACTCCACAGCCTCTCCCTCTCCTACCCTGCGAAGGTACTTCCTGGGGGTATGCTTCCTCACAGCAGTCTGCTGTACACATACGCCTTCCTCGGTGTCATTCCGGTTGATGAAACCATATCCGTTCCTTCCTGAGCCATGTCACAGTTCCTAAAACTCTCTTGAGATGACTTGTTTGTCCCTGTCCACAGGGCAGGCGCCCCTGTGAGGCAGCCAGGGCCGCTGCTCCCCGCGCTCCGCCGGTGGTGTCGGGTTTGGTGTCCGCATCGCTCAGGACGGGTGGCGGCGGCTGGGTCTCAGCCTCTCAGCTCCTAGTTACGGTGGTGGTGACAGGGGCCGGCCGCAGCTGCGGTTCCCCCCGGGGTGTGCTGGTAACAACGCTGGCGCCGGCCGGAGGGACTGCTCCCGGCTCTTTGGGATCCGCTTTCCGCTCCGCTACTGATGGAACTCCCTGTGATTTAAAATACCCCTGCCACCAGGCAAACTGTAAAAACGCAGTAGCGGCAGCTCCACTTGCGCAGTTCTGTGTGCGATGACGTTCCTTCCCACTATATCCAACACCTCCATTTTTTATTTTGCCTTGGAAAGTTCTGAGTTTCTAGAGAGCATCACTGAGGGAAGCTATTGAATGTAGAGAGCCGTCTAGTTGTGGGCTCGACACCAGGGAGGGATCTGTAGTCCTGGGCCACAGTTGTCCTTCCGGGGAGTGTTTGCACTCACCCTACCTTCTGGCTGCAGAACCACGCTTAGTAAATTTGAGAACTCAAGATGCTGTGGGTGCTTCTGAAGCCTTTGCCCTGTAGTGCCCAAATGCCACTGCCTAAGATTCTCAAGACATTGTTTTCCCTCCCCTTAAAAAAAAAGCCTAAGGTATAATTTACATGCATGAAAAGCCCAGATCTTGTTTAGTTCAGTGAAACTTGACCATTATGTGTACCCATATCATTACCACCCAGAAGAACATAGAGACCATTTCCTTCATCCCAGGAAGTTCTTTTCTGCCTCTTTTCAGACAATTTACGCTAATCCATCCTCAATCTACCCCAGAAGGATTTACTTTATAATTTTCATTCCCACAGAATTCCCATTTTATTCCTATATTCTCTCATTTTTTCCCCATCTGAGATCGCTATGGTTCAGTATATATATATATATATATATA